CACAATTGGCCCATGTGAATTGATGAAGAGGAAATCTGCGAGTGTGAAGAAAACTTATGTTAACCACACCGGGATTCGAACCCGAAATTTTCAGCTGTCCATGTAGACACCCTCACTGCGCCACTGAGACTTCGTTGGGAATGCAAATCCCATTAGAAGCAGAGCTTTCGGACAGCACTGCCCTTCCTAGTATTTGCCAAGCTCCGCGCTGTAATTATGTGAATTCGTATTACTGTGAAATATCGCATTGATTCGCTAAGAGACCTTACACGCGCCTCCAGCCAACCACGGCCTAATACATTATAGGATTACAACACACAAATGGAGACAGAAACTGTCACTGAAAACATTTTGATTTTAAAACGAAATAACTTTAATAATTAATGTTTGCATGATTTCTTGGAGAGTAAATGAAGTTTTTTTTTTTATAACCTACTAGATTTGTATGAAGTATAGTAAGTCCTACCATGGAGGTCCTGCAATGCTAAATATGGCACAGTAGGACGGACATAATGTCTAACACATATCACTACCTATGGATATGAAACTGATGGAGTTTACACACATCCTTCGGTCGAGTTTACACACACACACACACACACACACACATCCACACTGGTCGAGTTTACTCAGCGATTTTCGGCGATACATACAGATCTAATTAATTTCTCTATTGTACCATAGAAAATAAAACTTAATTGTCGTTGATTTATTTACTTCACCTGCTTCGTGGGTTGAAAACTACTCTTATATTTACAGGCTTTTTCTCATACTTCTCAAATTACGATAAAGGCACGCCTACCTGAGTCATGTATTATAGGTAATTCAGAAGTTTATGGGCAGAGATACCGGTATATTGCTAGCTATAAGGTAGGATGTACTGTACCCTATCTGTACAGCGTTCTTTCGTTAAAACCTGGGTCATTTATGCAGTTCATTTCAACACACACACATTTACATACATCGCTATCGGTCGAGTTTATACGCATCGCCACTTGTCGAGTGCGCTCGTCGCTAATTGTCTATGAGGTGACATGCCATGGCGTGCCATAGCTATGCCTAGTCCCAGCTAGCTTTTATTGTGATACTTGGTCCAGGAATAACCACTAACACAATAATTTTGTACAAGTCGTCCACATTGCGAGAAATTAGAACCAGGAAGTTTAAAGTTTTTCCGAACAATTTGTCACTAAAGTAGGCCGCTAACGGTTGTCTTTTTGTAACCACTTCCTTGTTCTACTGATGTCTTGCTGTGGTATTTATTTCCTTTTAAGTTTCCCTAGATGTTACTGTATTGTGATATTAATGAAAATAGTGAAATCAATAGTGATAGATAGTGATTGAGTCAGAGATCCCAAGTTTGAAAACCAAAAAATAGGGAGATTTTTTTCATGAAGCGATCGCCTCCTGTAGCGATGCGCTGTGACGCCTTACAACGCGCTGTGCAACATGAAAGTATTACACAAAATGAAG